TGTAGCCCTCGGGGGTCTCTGGGTGGTGGTTTCGGTGTGTGCAGCGTTGCTGTTGGTGGCATCCTGCAAACTCTTGAAGAGACGGCCTGGGGAGAGGCGTTCTGAGCTGGGCGTGCAGGGAGCATTTTGTGGTACTCTTGTAATAATGAATGCAGCAGGTTTGCTTGGTTATTTTTGCTGCGTGCTTTTGGAGGGTACAGCTGCGTTACGGCTCAAGGAGTACTGCCAGCACAAAAGCTGGTGAGCTTATGGAGCTGGCTTCAAACAGTTCCTCTTCTTGTTGTAGGCTGCTTTTTATTGTTTAATTTGTTGTCTCTTTAACATTACAACGTAAGTGGGAAAAATAAAAATTATTCCTGCATACGGGAGAGTGAAGTGTGCTGTATCCCAAGTGTTCGGAAGTGTTGCAGGCTTGTTCACCATAGTTACTAGAGGAGTGGAGTACCTGACTATTACTTTAACTATTCTTTAAACTTGATTTGAGAGGCTTTGAAAATAGGGAGGAGAGTAAGGATTTAGGCTGGTGTTTGTTAACTCCATGTTCAATGATACAGGAAAGGGAGGAGAAACCTTTTTAGAAAGGTAGGGCTGCTATAGTTCACTCTAATAATAAGGAAAACCCTGCAGCTGTGGCTCTTTGTCATTACCAGGAAGGTGAGTGGGAGTTGCTCGGTTCAGAAGCAGCTCAGGCACAGTGCCTGCTACCAGCTCATGTGAAGGCAAGACCTGTGAAAGCTGGTGTGTTAATCTTCAACTGGTTTTGCTCTCATACAGCAAGAGGTCCTTAATTTGGTTTGGTGCTGCACAAATGTGGCCGTGTTGTCCGAGAAGCTTAATTGCCTTCAGAGCTTTTGATTTCTGAGGGTTTGATTTCTGTGTTGACCATCTGAGACAAGTAACTGGGATGAACTTGGGGATCCTGTTCGTCTTTGTGTGGGACCTCATTAACTAGTTGTTACTTAATAAATGACATGTAGCAGCATCTACTTTTTTCTCTGGGAATATGTGCCAAACCCCTTGGTTCATGACCTAACAATATATGTTGTCTCAGACCTGCAAAAAAAAGTTCACGGAAGACCAAGCAGGCAGAGGCAAAAAAGAAACAAGTACCCAGGAGGCGGCCACTGCTGACCAAGCCCGTGGATGATGTCTACCTGACGTGGCATTATGAGCGCCCATCCTATGAAGTGGAAAAGGCTGTGGGGATGCTAAAGAAATTTCAGGAGCTGGACTTCACGTACCCCAAACAGTTTGTCTATATTAATGCGTTCCTAGATATGGCACTACAGAAGAAGGTACGTTGGAAGTGTTAACAAATGTTGATACTTTTATTTCATTAACATGGGAAGGCTGAGTTTTAAGTGCAGAGCAGATGCTGCTGTTGTCCTTCCTGGCTGCCTCTTGCAGCTTCTTTGTCAGAATAATGTGGGCTTTTACAGGTGGCTTTGTGCCTTTATACGTGTGTAATTATACACCATTCCTCACGCTTCTGAGGTGAAGATAGCACCACTGAGGATTTTGAAAACAGACTGTTATATGACCAAAATTCATGTATGGACAGAACTGATCAAACTGAGGTTTGTATCTATGCAGGCTTTTCAATTAAAGATGTGTTCCCAAAATCATGTACGTATTTTGTTCTGGGATGATTGTTACTAGGAGAATCGTAAGGACAAGCTTCTTTCTGCTTCTGTCCTTCACCTTGTTTGGATTTTTTTAAAATAATGTTCCTTGAAAATACGCTATCACTTGTTTGCCTGTGACCTTTTTGATTTTAAAGTTGTCAAGCCCTCTTCAGTCTTTGCCTAAATCTTTTGCTTCCCTCATAAGTAGAAAACAGGCCACTTGAGAGTTGGTTTCTTCACATGTGTAACTAAATATGCCTTTGATATTCCAGGGATTTTGAGCTAGAAAATAAGCTCATGCTCAGTAAAATGCAGAGCTCTTGCTCCTGCTTTCAGGGGTTATGTGATGTTCTTAAGGCTCGATGACAGACACACGAGGTTTGTATTGGCTGTTGCATCAGAATCAGTATTTAATAAGATGCGACTGTAGCACCTCGATGTTTGTTACTGACTGCATCCGAGCCTGGTAGCAGTCCTGCCCTGGAGTCACTGACCCGAGCAAGCTCCAGCATAATTATTTCATTGTCACTTATGTTTAGACTTGAGTGTATACTGGACATAAAAAAGCAGTCAAAACTTGCACCTTGTGCTTGTTTGATATGACCTCTGTGCAAGGAGATTGTGGGTAAGTTTGCTATTTAGGGGAGCGACTCTGTGCAGGTGTGTAACTTGCCCTTAAGTCATGATTTTATTTTTTTTAATTTGTTTTAATATTTTTCTTTCTTCTTAGAAAAAAGTGGAACCATTTACAAGCACTGTTCTTCTTCCATATCGCTTTTCAGATCAAACAAATAAGGTCTTGGTTTTCACAGAGGTGGGTAAGGCTGAATTACTTGCTTCATATTCTTTCTGTATCTAGCATACTGTTGCAGCACAACTAGTACTATGCAACACAACAAGTACTATGCCTTTTGTCAAGAAGACTCTGGGAATGCTTTACACAACTCTTAAGTCTGTCTAGGATTCGCCTTCAGCAGCGTCTTAATGTATTAATAAGCACCTTAAAGGACTTCCTTCGTCTTGATAGGTTTAAGTATACATAGATGATTCTAGCAATGCTCTTAGGGAGTAAACATCTGCATAGATGTGACTAAGGAAGAGGTGATTAAAGATCATTTATAGAGTAAAACCTTTGTGACCTTTTTGTAATACAGGCAGATGGTTTAGTGTAGCATCCACGTCCAACCCTCCTGTTTTAAGCCTTAGTAGGCTGTGCGGATTAGAAGTGGGTGTTATTCAGGCACATACACTGTAACAGGATACATGTGGGGGAGAAGAGGAAAGTAACTCCTCCTTAAAAACCCTAAACAATTTAACATCCCTTTGCCCTGAACCCTTTCTCTGCTCTCCTAGGAGTTCAGTAATGTGAAATGGTGTGGAGAGCAGTTGTAGCATCTGCATGAGACCAGTTTCAGCCTCTGCTGCTGTCATTTGCCAGTTAATCATTCTAGCAGAATAAACATGCATGCACCTGTGTGAGATTTTCCCAGAGAACTGATGTAGCTGACTACCCTTTGGGCTTCAGTTTTGTAAAATTCTGTACCTGAGCTACAAGCGGAGAATCCTCCTGCGGAATGGATTCAAGCACAGGCGACCCAAGCAAGCCAGGTTCTTTCGTGCTGTGTCACAACCTTCTCTCTTCACTCAAATTCATGTGGGCTAAGAGATCTCATGCTTTGTGAAGGGTGTATGCGTGGAAAAAGGTTGAGCAACTGAAACACTTAGTGCTTTGGGATGAAAGTGTGGAGCTTTTCAGTTTATTCCTGTAAGGAAAAGTTGATTCTGGCTTTGCATTATGTGTATCTGCTTGTATTGAAAGCTTGAGCCAAAGTTTTTACAAAACTGATGCCTTTTTCCACGTTTCAGAAATTTTAATTCCACATTATAAGCAAAACCTTGCAGAGGACAGATGAGGTTAACTTCTAAATGCTCTTTGAATCCCAAGTGCAGTAGCACTTTTAGAAGTTGAATAGCCTTACTTTGCAGTGGGTTTTAGTAGCATGTTCTGAGCTTTTCTTTAATCTTAGAGTAAGATGTTGGGTCCATCCAGTGGATGGTTCATTGTAATTTCCAAGGGATGGAGGTGGAAAAGGGTTTTGATAGAGCAGCTCAGGAAATGGGATGGGCTTTTCTCCTTCTTCTCCAGTACAAGTTGAATTAAGACTTTACTTTTTTGTTTCTTACTGGGAGGTGGAATAGAGTTGTTGCTGTTATATTAAATCACCAGCATTAGGTATTTTTGGTTGCTGATTGTCTCAAACCATCCTTCTTAGCCTGCAAATAGCCTGGGTTTATGCCCAGTTGTCCAAGATAAATCACCTCACCAGTGCTGTTGATACAGTACAGATGTTACTGATATTCTTACTTCTTTTTCTCTCAACAGAATGAGCAAGAAGCTGAACTAGCTCGAGAGAACGGAGCTGCTGTTGTGGGAGGAGTTGAATTAATCAAATGGGTATTTCTTTATTTTTTTTAATTTGTTTTAAGATTTATTTAAATATTCTGACTTAAACAGTGGTTGAGGAGGGGAGGGAGTAAGAAACCTCGTGTCCAGTAAACTCTGGCTTGAAGTTAGCAGCCAATATGAAGAGCGAGAGATGGGTTTCTATGCTTGGATATGCTTGTAGGTCAGCTTGTGTGCTGAGGTAATTTATTGTGTTCCTAAATGTATTTACTTGTTTTTATTGTAGATTTTGGAAGATGAAATCCAAGCAGACTCTTACATAGCTGTTCCTGAAATAATCCCTAAGCTAATACCATTAAGGAACAAACTCAAACGGAAATATCCAAGTACAAAAAGAAGTAAGAAGCAGTTTGTTCTTATAAATCTCAAATACTGAGCAAGATACAGCTCTAGAGGTGACACCAAAACTTTTTTGCTGAGGTTGTGTAATTAAATTGAGTGTTTGGCTGTTTGTGACTGAAATGCTTGTTTTAGATAAGAGCAGTTTTAGGAACCTAGAACTGCGCTTTTCTCCCGCAGCAGGCAAGTGTGGGTTTGGAATCAAGAGAAGTTTGCCTGCTCGTTGCCTCTCTACTTCTTAGTCCTGATGAACCCTAATAGTATTGTACAATTACTCAAGAAGGCAGAAACAGCTTGCAAAACAGTCTCTGAGGTAGTTGTGTTGTTGAACTGTCGTGCAATTGTTTGGAGCCCAGTTTCATGACTGCTACTGCTCCTTCTGCCTGTTCATTGCTACTCAGCAATGGAGTTATTTAAGCTTTAGCATTTTCAAATATGGAGAAAATGAAAATGGTCTGTCCATCAAACATAGAGCTGTGTGAAGCACTCAGTCTTTAACCCTGCTCCAGCTGTCTTCATGTTTTACAAACTGCAGGCAGCAGTTTTAGGCTCCTAAACATTTGAGACAAACCTATGAACCTGTCCAAAGCATTGCAACAGAGAATACTCCAGATATTTCTTGGAACAAATGAAAGTTATATTATGCCATTATGAATTTACTTGGACTGTAGCTTATCCAGGGCCGATTTGACTTGGAGCCATCAAAAGATGTGTGGGAGAGGTAATGTTTGTATTAGAAGCGATGGAGTGACAGTGTAAATCTGTCACATGAGCCCTTGCAGCTGTGGTAAGAAACAGCTCTCTTGGCTTGTGGGAATAGCTGGATCGGGTCAGTGTGTTCCATGTAGTATCTAACTTTGCTGTTACATAGTTGTAGACTTTGTTTTCAAGGAAGACTTGGAGCTTGTTCTAAACGTAACTAGGTTTTGGTCTTTTGAGACACTTTAATTGTGTTGGGTAATAAAGCTTTGTTTTATATATACACAAACAGGTTCTTTATTTTAAGTGAAACCTTTATGTTTCCTACTGTATTAGCTCTTCATGTCTGCTGATGAATGAGGAAGGAGGGAAGATAGAAATGATTTAGATAGTGGGTGTGAGGGCACCATTGTTCATCAGAGTATGTTTTTAGTGAGTTTAGCTGCCTTAATGAAAAGATTGGATTCTCTTTTGACCAGTATCACACTTAGCCACACTAATAAGCACTTCTGGACAACTTTTTTGCTTTTTGTTTTAGATTCCCTGGGCCATGATATTCTCAAAATGCTGCAACTCTACAGAGACGGTCTTGAGTACGCGGTACAAGACGAGTGTGTAATCAAGACAAGAATAGCAAGAGTAAGTTGTATATAGAGTGCTTAAGTTTCTTCTACTGAGCAGAGCTGAAGTTAGCATTAAAAGAGGGGAAAAAACATGGTTTTAATCTTTGTGTTCTTAAGATTCTAACTGTTCTTTGACTGACCTGTGAAGCAATTAGTACACTTAGGCTTCTTGTTACGGCTTCAGCTGATGTCAGCCCTGTCTGTTGTTGATGTGTGGTCATGGAAGATGGCTCAGGTAATATTGAGAGCAAAGCATACGTGATGCTAAGAAGTTAAGGATGCCAAGAATGGGATCTGTATTTGCCACTATATTGGCAAGGAATTGTAACAGTGAACAAAATAGAATTAAAAAGGTACTATTCCTAGTAATCTCCTTGTGAGTTGACATCTTAACACAGGCTTTCCTTTCCTCTTTGCCTCCTTAGCACCCTTCCATGAGCAAAATAAAGCTTATTTGATATTCTCTTAAGTAAATAAACTATGGGTTGTAAGTACACAGTCAGTATGTGCAGGTGGATCAAAAAGTGTTTGCTTTAATTTAATAATTAAAAACTTTTTTTTTGTTTGATAACTTTAGCTCTGGACTAGAGCAAAAAGCAAGAACTGTTTGCATTACACCTGGGATATAAAATTAATTTGTGCTTTGCTGTTATGGAGGAAATTGAGTTATATAAGAATATATTTTCTGTCTTCTTTGATTTCTTTTCCCTGCTCCAAACTGTGTGGTTTGTGTTCATTCTGTTTTGTCTATTTGTAATCCTGCCTGATCTTTAGTTTTCCTTTAACTGATACTGGTACAGAAAGGAAGTTTACAAGATAAGTAACCAATGAAGCTTTGTCTGGTGGAGTTAGAGATAAGCAAGTTTATTAATTCTGGCTAGCTGCTCCAAGTCCTGCATGTGAATTTCAAGGGCTTTCTTGTCTACATGATAGTAAAAACTGAGGGTTATGAGACTACTCTGCTACAGTTTGTTACATATTTCACTTTGATACAGGCAGGGGTGTCTTTAACTGTTTTGTAAGTTTAATTGACAGTGTGAAATGCCTCGAATCCATAGGTCATTTGTGGTTTTTAGTATTCTGACTGTATTCTTCAGTTTTTCCTCTGGACTGCTTAAGCTTCAATCACTTTATACTGCAGGTCAACCTAAAAATACCCCTGCAAATTAAACTTATTGCAGAGTTTTTTCTTGTATAGTAAAGAATAAAAACCAGGTTTGGGATAAAGGTGGATGAAGAGTGCTGATGTATTGACAGTGTTCAGTGCAGTTGCAGTTGGTTCTGCTTTGTGTGGTGTCTTGCAGCTGTGGCTTGAGTTTCTGAAGTTCAGACCATGCCCTGTTGGCAATATGAGATCTTGGTGTTACATATTACGTTAGGTTCTGTGCCTGGGCAGTGCAGCCCTGCAGCTCCATGGCACTCCAGAAGGTTTGGTGCAGCCAGAGATAACTGCTGTGCAAGTAAACAAGATGTCCTCATGAATGAACTCTTCATCTTGGATCAGAATGAGTGTGGTGAGGGTTTGTTTACAGAGTTCTTAGGTGCTATGCTTGTTTCACCTGTGTGACAGAGGTGACTCCAGCACTGCACGCACAGCGTGACATGCTCTGTCACACTTGTGTGTGTTGTGTGCAGGGGCATTACTCAGTGGTTGTGGCTTGTGTAAGAAGTCTCCACACTCTCTAGCTACTATCCTTAACTGACCTAGTTTTCCTACTGTTTGCACAGCGGCGCTGGATGGAAATGGAATGCAGGCGAGGCTCTGGGAGGCTGAAAGAGCCTTGAGTGTTACACATATCAGCTCACCACTAAATCAAGAGCCTCTAAAATTTAAATCTCATCAGTGAGGAAAATAATAATTTATGAATTACACAGAAGTGTGAAGATCTATTGCCGTATTCCAGACAGGAGTGTAGATGTTTCTGGGAGTCTGCCAAGCTAACGTTGCTCGAAGAGATGGTTTCCCTGTAGTGCTGCTGTCTCATGTTGCCTGTTAGCTCAGTTTTGGCCAGTAGCTTGATGTAATGCTGCACTCCCACAGCGGTCAGCAGCCTCAGTGGTGTTGTCTTCGTAGTAATTGCAATGTCTTTGAAAAGCTCAGTTAATTAGTAAATCTGAAGTTGAGAAACTGAGAATGTAAAAATCTTACTCAAAGCTGTGGAGCTTAATGCAGAAGGGAGACAAATGAGAACACTTAGGATATCTCCTTCAGATTGAAGCTATCTGCAGAGGGCATTTTTTGAGGGTTTTGACACAAGTCTGGAGTCTAGACAGGGTGCTGTTGTTCATTACAAGATTTTCTTTGGAGACTTTGAGTTGTCTTGAGAAAAATACGGAGTTCAAATGTGACATCAGGAAGGAATTCTAGCATGTCTTACTATCTGGAGAGAGTTGCCTGTGAAGTGGTTCTTCTGTGGAACAGAGTAAGATGGTTTCAGGAGGTGAGACCTTAAGGTTTGTTCGTAAAGATGCCTTTTCTGGAAAGGGACGTGTATGCAGGAGCAGTGTTCTTATTCACAGGGTTAAAAGCATGAAGAGTCATGTACTGAAGTGGAGAGATCTCAAACTTGGTACGCAGGATGTGCAGCTAGATGGAAGTAAGAGTTAAGGCAGGAAACAGAAAGGTCACTTTGCGCTGGAAGTAGCATCTACCTCCTTTGGCTGTTCATGGGATTGGAGGCCCCAAGTGCCAGTGTCTCTTCAAAGAGAAAAGACTCGTGGATCCTTAACTCTGAACTCCTTAAAGGAGCAGGGGAAAACAATCCCACAGTTGAGGGAGACGTGTTAAGTCTTGCCATTTCAGATGCTCAGGAACTGAAATACATGTATTGGGGGATGAAGGGAATAACACAAAACGCATAGCTGTCTTTTGGTACATATTTGAGCTGTTCTGTATGTGAGACACCACATGGAAGAGTTTGCCTGTCAGCAGTGCTGTTTCTAGACAATTCCAACAGTTGACAAGTCCAGGATGAGAGAGAGTTTCAGCCATAAATTGTGTACCTTGGAGTTGAAGGTGTTTGTGTTGTAGAAGATGAATTAGCCTCATCCTTTATAGCCTTTGCATCTGCAGGACTCGCTCTTTTTGGACGGAGGTTGTTTGTGCTCTTGAACTTTAATTGCTGAAATGCTGGGTTCTTTTCTTTATTGCGTGTGATGTGCACACTCGTGCTGCTTCTGACGTGTGGAACAGCTCTGCTGTGTCTGCTTGTGGGTGTTCTTACTGGCTAATTTCTAACTTTTATTTTCCTGCCCTCTGATTCTTGAAGCATGGAGTTAAGCAGCTGACAATAATCTTGTTTGGCAGAGCATTAATCATTTTGGGTTCATAATTCCTCATGTTCTGTCGAGTGTTTCTCCCCTGCCATGACTGCCATTCCCTATGTGTGTGTTACAGATGAACTGCCTGGTGGTTAAATCTGCAGTACAGTTTCAGTGCTCTGACTGGTCTCTCGATGCAGTTCCCTAAATACAGTTCAGAAAAGCATTTCTGTGGTTAAAGCTAGTCTTTTAATAGCAGGACATTTTTTGTTTGTGTATTTAGCCAGCAAATAGCTGTGTGGCTCTTCTGTGTATTCACTTGCAGTCTTCTAAAGATCCCCTAGAAGGTTAGAAGTGTTGAGATGTGATGAATCAAGTTTTAAAAATGGTCTGTTCTGGGGAAGCATGTGCAATGCTCAGTATTAAGAGGCAATTTCCCAGTAGGCAGCAGAGTTAGTGGGAGGCCCCTGTAAAGACAAACATTATATGTTCCTTTTTAAAAGGAAAAAAGAACAGCTTTGCACCTTTTTACACCACCTTATGCTGCTCTAAGGGGGAAGTGATCTAGACTTGAAATAGTAAGACAGGTAACAATTTCTGTGTTCCGATGGTAGTGTATGCTGTCATTTTCTAAGGCACTTTGTGATGAGGTTGTATTTATACAAAGTGGACTAGAGACTAATTGATAGTTGCTCCCTCTGCAGGCATGGTCATTCTTCAGGGAGGCTCAGGACTCAAAGATCTTACTTATTTTAGATATTTGCTTGTATTTGTTGCTACAGTCGATCTGAATAGAGTAGCTTGCACAGCCCTGAAGATCTGGTCCCAAGCACTTGTGTCAGGCTGCCAAAGGCTTGAATTCAGCTAAATATCGAAGTGCTGATACACAGTGACTGTGTGTACACAAGAATTTACTGGGGAATACTTGTTTGGAAGCTGAAACATTTACTTGGATGTGAAAGCTATTTTGAAATGCTGGGAAACCTCTGAGCATTACCTGTCTTCATTATGGAGCTGTTGGCATCTCAAGTAGATGATGGTTTGTGACCTATTGGGATGTGCCATGTTTTCTGACTGAATGCAAGTCACTCTGTCCTATTTTCCTATCCTGACAAATACAGAATATTAATTAATGCCTTATTTTGAAATGAGTCTTGTCTTGTAATATGTGGTGTTTCTAAATCTTTGTAAGAAGTTGTAATTGCAGAGCAACTTGCAAATTCTGTCTCTTCTGAATGCTTCTAGACTTGGTTATGGATGAGGAATGTCAGCTAGCTCACTGAAATTGTACAATTGAAGTGTAAGGTTGGAAAGAAATGCTATTGAAACCTTAATTTGAAGTATAGTTTCTAATTAGTTATTGCCAATTACTTGTTTTGTTTAAATGGCTTCTTTATTTTTAATTCAGTACAGCATGGTGACTCTGGCACACAGTGAAATGCTCAGCATTAATATGTCTGCTTAATTTATGGGTGATGAAGCACTTTGCAATCAGTGTAACAATGATAAAGACAAATGTCTTCTGGCGTGTGTAACAGAGGAACTGCATTTGGGTTGTAAGTCCACTGGCAGAGCATAAGGAGATATTAATGGACTAGATCTGGAGGAGAGTAGTCGAGCATGACAGCATTTCTATTACAGTGTAATGTGTACATTTACAGATAAGTGAGATATTAATAAAATCTGCTTATATTACATGGGGAGGTGGCAGAGAGGAAGAGAGAACACCAGTGATACCTGTATGCTCCCCTGAAATGGAGTTAACTCTGAGGAAAATGCTATTTTTAACTCCATAGCTGGAACTTGTGGAAAAAGAACTCAATTCTTCATCCAGAGAAAGAAATGTGGATAATATAGGTGAGACCAGGCAGCAAATTAAATCAAGCATAGCAGGGCATTATGGCAGCAGAACATTAAGTCTGAGAAACGCACATTAAGCTCTGCTGGAGCTGAGAGACAGGTCAGCCCTGGCTTTGATCTGGGGGGGTTCAGGTTGGCATCTTACTTGATCATGAGTTGTATGTTCTTGAGGAGAGTCCAGATGAGATGAACAGCAGTCATGGTTTAAGGGAATTGGTATTTGAGGGAAGATGGAGGTATTAATTTTTTGGCAACTGTGCTGGTTCACTTTATAATTTTTAAATGATTTGTTTGGCTCTGTTCTTAATGCCTTCAATTTTAGATGCCTTTTTGTTTAGTTGATCTGTTTTGTGGTCTTCCACAGCTACTTCTTGAAGCTTCTTTCCTCAAATTCTTTAATAAGATTTTTGAAAAACCACTTGTGTATATACATATTTTTTTAAGACTTTTCACCTCTTTAAGGCTACATGTTGTTACTGAGCTGTGGGGATTTAATGCCATGAGTAGAAACATGGAAAGTCATGATGAGCGTATAACCATGTATAAAATACTTCTTTTTGTGAGTCATTTGGATAAGGCTGTTAATGGGATTTCTAACTCCTTAATGGCACGCTTATTCAACAAAGGTTGAATAAATATATACCCAGTGATTTAGTTTTATTAATCTTGGGTATAAGTATCACCATGGCTAACTTTACCCTTTTTCAGCTGGATATGCCTACTGAGCAGATAATTGCGAATCTAAAAACAGTTATCAATGACATCTGCACATTCAAGCCCTTGACTTATGGTAAGTAGCTGTTCTTCTAATGACATAGTTGAAATTAGAGCAAATAAAATGTAGAAATTACTGTTCTTTACCGGGTTGTCATTAAATGACTGTGCTGTTCTGTCTGCCTTGGGCTAGGAAGAACTGAATTGTGAACTGTAATCGCACCGCAGCACTATGTAAGTGTCTTTGTAAGGCAAGCAGTAAGATGATGTAAAAAACTAAGTTTGCAGGCTTGATGCTTAAATAGATCAAAGCCACACAAGGAAATCCTCATGAGACATGGACGTCTTCAGCATCTGTGTGCGTTGGTTGACCCCGCTGATATGACCCTCTTGTGGCTTAACACAAAGAATCCGAACTCAAAATCTACCTGCAGATGCCGTAGTTAAAACTTGTGCATCAGTTAATATTTGTCTGCCTTGTTTGCAGGTATACCACCTTTTTTTTATCATTTATTTATTACAAAGGTATTTTTTTAAATTCTGTTGGGAAAGCTGTTAATTTTTGGGTTTTTAGTTCCTTAGCAAAAGGATGAGGTTACAATGGAATAAAGGTGTGAATTCTGCATGTTGTTCCTGTGCGCTCTGCCCACTCTTCTGAGCAAAGAATGTGAACAATTAATACACTATCTGCTCTTTGTCATAATGAAGTAAACTTTAAATCAAATGTCATCTGCTTAGCTGGAGTGGAAATGGTTATTTATGACCAGAATTTTGTGGTTGAATAGCCTTGTTTAGGCTAAGAGAACAACTTTTTCTCTTAATATTGAATTAATGTCTGCAAAAAGAATCATCTTGCATCTCCTCCAGTGACGCTGTTAATAGTAAGTACTGTGCACAGAGAGAACAGACTGCAAAAAGCCAATTACATGTGCCTTCAGAAGCATTTCAGCCCAAATGTAAAAAATAAGGGGTTGTTTGACATGAAATACAAGAAAACAGAAGCAGAAAGTGGTGGTATTTTTGTCCTTATGGAGTTTATATGTGAGCTACACCATCCTAGTTAAGTAAGGGTAAGCTCTTCTGGTTTTGGTAGCATTTCTACTGATTTTGCAGTATGCATCTTGATTCTTGTGGTGGGGCTCTTACTGGCTTGGTTAAAAATACTTCCTGGTTATAGGAAGCAAACGTGGTAATTAACACATCTTTGCAGCAATGGAGTCTAGATGTGCTTGCTAACTCGATTGCTTAGAGCTAGTTTTAGATACCTGTTCTATAGTTCCTTTCAGACTTTCCATATGGGATATGTAGTTATCACTAATATGGCATTCCCCTGCGAGTCACTTGATCTAATGGAAGACTGAAAATACCACCAGGCAAATGTTCTCACAATATAATGTAGATCTATTTAATCCTCCATCAGGAAATCTGACTACTTCCATAGCCGTTCTTGTGAGAAGGTTTCCCGCAGTGTTTCATGGAAGGATCCTGAATTAGGAATGGTTTCTTTAGTGCTCTTAGTCATGGAGGAATATTTGGGTGATCAACAAACTTCCCCCCATACTTGCCAATCAGTACCATTCCTCAAAGTTGAGTTTGTAAGCTTAAATTTTAAACGCAATAGCATGTGTGCCTTTAACATAGTAGAATGCAGCAAACTGTTCTTCCTTGCCAACACGTAGAGAGAAAGGAATGTTTGGCTGATGGGTGAAGGAACATCATGGGACTGATAACAACTAAGGAGACAGTAAATAAGACCAAGGATGCTAGCCTTAAAGATAGCAGAGTGGTGCCCAACATGGACCGAGACTGGACCACAACAGAAGCAAGGACATACCAACGGCTAACTCATCACTAGGACCTTGCGAGCACGCTCAAGCACTGAGGTCATTCAGTAAACTCAGTGAGGAGGTCTGTCGGCGACCACCAGAGACCCCCAGTCAGCAAGAAAGTGTATGCTTAATTAGAATGCCAATATTATAATCAGTTCCCGGAAATCTCATGAATATGTAAATAATTTCCTGGAAATGCTGTAAATATGCATGAGTATGCTAAATATATAGTTGCTGCAGCAAGTAACAGGCACGCTTACCTTTGTGAAATGATTCACTTGTGCACCCAGTGCTGCAATAAAGAGTACTTGCTTTCTAAAACTCCACAATGAGTCTTAGAGAGTTTCTCCAACCAATGTTTACAGTAACAAGTTCACTTGTATTTCATGTGTTGGAGGAGTGTGTGTGTGAAGCTTCAATTGTGTTTTTCTAAGGCTTAGGGGCACTTAGGTCAATCGCTGGTGAGGTACTGAAGGAATCATCAAATTATACCTTTTAAAGCACCAGAGTGTAAATTCCATTTTGATCCCAGTCTGCTGGGGTGGATGTTAAACTTGGTGCTGAAGGGATGTGTGTGCTTGCATAGTTCTGGTTCTGCTCATGTGCTTGACATAGTGTGGATTCTAAGATGAATCAGCCTGGAGACATGTAAAGTGGTGGTGTGACTGAGTTCGTGGTCTTTGTTTTCTAGGTCCTTTGGTGCAGAGGTTGGTGATTAGATCTTCCACCAGTGAAGGTTTGCTATTGAACCTTGATGGACTTCTGCCTCAGGTGGAGAAAGTAGAAGAAAAAGAAGAAGAAAAAGATGCGGAAGATAATGAAGAAAAACATGTCCCGGAATCTGCTAGTACCTGATGTCTTTCCTTGTAGATCTGATGACCAAGCTTGGAAAGCAAAGGGTGTAATTGAAATCATACTTTATGAAAAGAAAGAAATAAATCTAACTTGTGAATTCCACCTGTAAATTCTGTGTAATAAGAAACATTGTCACAAACGGGAGTCTGTTCTCAAGACTGAAGACATTTAAATTCTTTTTGTGGGTAGCTGAGAGCTCCCAGACTTGTGTGTTGTTGGGGTTTTTTTGGGTTTTTTTCTTCGCATATAACAGTTTTTACTTTAATAAAAGTATTTCTGTAACTACTGAAGTTTTGCCATCGATTTCCACAGTTGCAGCCAAAATGTACCATGCTTTTGTCTTGACTCAGTCCCCCCCCAGATCAGCTGGTGCAGTTCCTGGTGGTAAGATGCTGTCTAACTCGCCAGTGAAGGAAACCAGGTTTTATTTGCCATTCTGTTTTTCTGCCAAGTCAAACATGGTTGGATTTTGAGTTTCTTTGGTGGGAGTAATGTCTGCGTGATGCTTGTGATACCTCACTTTGTTTTCATTTGATCTGCATATGTAAATACTGGAAGGGTATACGGAGGATTTCTGCTTTGAGCCACTGAGTGCAGGTTAGTCTTTGTGACAGCTTGTAATAGGTGAGGTTTTCCTAAGGAAAAATTAAATGTGTTCTGTGGGAGGAGTGATCATGCACCTGGTCCTGTGCTACATTAGTCATCTCTGAGGTGCACTAGGTTCTAGGTCACCTTTGGTTAGCAACTTGCTTAAATTTGTTCCTTTGACTCATCGGAGCTATGCATAGCACTATGATTTGGCAGAAAATCTTGAAAATGAAGACTCTTAGTTGAAATGGAGGTGTCTCAGCAACAGCACAGTTTGATGTAAGTAGAAGATTCCCAGTAAATGAGTTTAATACTTGCTGGGGTTTGAGCTTTTAAACACATCAGAAAGATTAACTTGGTTCTATTTTTGCCCAGTTAGTTTTTTGTTCCTTGGGGCTGGTTGCTTTGGCACAAACAGATGAAAACCAAACCACCAACCCTTTTTTTGCAACAACTTTTGTGCATAAGATTACATTTGTGCTTGAAATGTAATCTTACTGTTCTGCCTGATGTAATTCAGTCTGTGGCCGTTGCTGTGCCTTCTTATTTTGCTTACCTTGTTTTCCTCCAGCATAGTTCTTAAATAGAAACTGGAGAGCAGCATAAATAACCATAATACTTTCAACTGGCTGTTATGTGACTTTTGCTTTGCTGAATTTCTTTCCCTGTTTTCTTCCGTTGTTTCCAGCAGG